CGGTATATAGAATAATTTTACTGCAGGAAATTTGCTCTCAAATTGCCCTCATTTTTTCCACATTCACGCATATGTGAGTAAAACTCTTGTAAACCTTTACAAGAGTGGCCCTTACTTGCCCCAAAAAATCACATTTCTTTTTGGTCTCTGATCTTCAACCGGTCATTTTTTACATTTGTTTAACAGATGAAAGAAGAAAACTCGCTTTGAGTTTCTGATCAGCCAAAACAAATTGGCATCCAACTAGCCATTAGCTTAAATGTTTTAATACAGAGTGTTCATGCATCGGCGGGTCAGTCTGAATTAAAAGAATTTGCAGCTTTGTAGCAGTGCATAGTACAAATTCGGGAAAACTTGCCAAACTCTTCGATCGTAATGAAACTTGCAGGCGAAATAGAGAAAAGAGTACACTATTCAATGGCATGAAAAGCAAATTGCTAGCAAGTTCACGAAAAAATATACTTTTGAACATAGTGTGCAGCATATAATGCAATTAGACTGAAAACTCTATTTCAACAATTCCAAAAAAATCATGAAAGTGGGCGTTGATAGTGAGACCGCAGGAGCCTGATAGGGAAAAGGTTGCTCTATAATTTGCTTTAAAAAGCAAGTTCCTAAAGTGGTTCAGTAGGGAGGCGTCTACATTTATGTCGCTTGAAAATCGGAAAAAGACATCTGAGTTTCGAGTTTTTTCCTTTCGTAAATTGTTCAAATTACACGATCGCCATGAGAAATTCGAAATACACCAGGAAAAGTATGCTCTAATAAGCATGCAAAACAAAACATAGACAAAATAAAACATAGAAAAATGAAACATAGACAGTATAGCTTGCAGAGAAAACCTGGAAAATTTGCCGATTGATTGAAACGTTCAGCAAAAACAGACAAATGCGCTATCGAATGGCGTGAAAATCAAATTGCTAGCAAAATACGTTTAAGAAAAAAAATAATTTTTGAAACTTGTGCTGCAACAAATGTCTGTCTAGAAAAAAAACTAAAGTTCAACCGCTCTTAAAAAAATGTGGAATTTGGTGTTTACCATAAAACTCTAAGAGCCAGCTAGAGGAAGGTGTGCTCTATAGAATGCTGAAAAGAGCAAACGACCAACGCAGTCCAATAGAGAGCRTTTCAACTTGCAAACATGCGTTTAAATAACCATTGCCAATYGAAAATAGGAAGATTGCTGCAGATTTTTTTTGCTTTGCTCTTCCACATTTGGCAAAAAACTGCTACTTGTCCTGTTTATCAGAAAACAATGATACTTAGTCGACAACATGCGTGCTAATGRRGAWAACGCTGTCTTTCACATTTCAAMWGTTCCTAGAAAATCCGCAATGTTCSATRCACATTTTCTCGCGTTTTCTGAGGATCTGTGGACCAAAAAGTATGACTAAAAAAAACACAAATATTTGCCTGAATATGAAGAAACAAAGCGGAGCATAAGAATACGATTTTACAAAATAGAATGCACCGTGAACGCCCTCTCTTCGCAAACACACTGGGCGTATATCAATACGAGATCAAATAGCTTCCAGTGAGATCAAAAGTAGATTAAACAGTCGCAAAAACGTTGCAAACCGGTCGCATTAAATGGAAAATCGATATGAAATGAACAGACAATGGTTCGCAAACTGTCCGTGTCCCCAGTTCGAAAGAAAAGCTGAACTTTGACATGCAACTAGGGTTCCCGCTAGGCAATATCTTTATTTTAACCGCTGCATATCGGACTTGAGCTCACCAGTTTTAAAACTTGGTCTCCAGAGGACCTAAAGAGTTACTTTTAGTGCACTTGGAAAGGAG